CATGTTTCTGACTCTCTAGCCCTCTCTCTTCCTCTCTGTGAAGAATCAATAAAATATTTTTTTAAAGTGTCCAAATTGTGACAGGTGAGTGTCTGGCCAACAGGAAGTCAGGTTACAAGACTAGGAAGTTCTTATTTGCATACCCGGAACCCATGAAAATCGCACCTATGGCAAGATCCCCTGGCCAGCTGCTGGCTTGGTGGGAGAGTTAGCAGGAGGCAGCGGGTACTGAGCTCAGGGGCAGGCCCATGGCACTGCCACGGCGAGGTGAGGGATGAGGAACGCACAGGGTCTGGAGTCTTTCCTTTTCCTCTTCCTCTTTCTTCTCATCAGGAAGCTCTCCCGGAAGCAGGAACCCCTGCCCCACCACCTTTAAGCCCTCATTGCTGAGTATCTCAATGAGCATATGTGCATTCACTCCTAGGAAGCTCCAGGATACATGCCTGCTTGTGTGTGCCTGCTGCTTGCAGGACATGCGTGTGTGCATTTGGTGCCCCATGTGCTCAGACCACACATGAGCTGGAGGTGGGCTTGGGTGGCTTCTCCAGCTCGGCAAAGGCCCCGATTTCATACTCACCATGGCCAAGGGAGCTTCCTGCCTGCATCGCTCACTGCTTGCAGCCTAAGAGGGGGAGGCTGAGGACCTGGGCCCTGTTATACACGGATCCCTAGAGCTGCTGTCTCAGGGGCCTCCAGCCGCTAACAAGCCCCCCAGGGCTCAGGCAGGAGAGACCCTATGGGTTTCTCTCCCTCCTGGAAACTGGAGACCCCAGGGTTCACTTCTCCGGCCCCCAGGCTCTGGTGGCAAAAAATGGAAAGGACTAATGATGATTTCTTGTTGTGGATGGCTGTCACAAATCCTCTCTCCACCCCATCAGTGCTCCCCAGGGCTTGTCAGTGCCCACCCTGCTTGGCAAAGCTGCTACCCAAGGAAAATGCACCTTGAACCCTGCCCTAAAGGGGGGAAGGAAGAAGTGGATCCCTTGATGTTGTTATGCAAATGTTCCCCAGGCTCAACTTCTTAGAGTGACCACAGCCCCTGGATCCCTCTCCCTGTTCTCAGAATTAGTCGCCAAATCTTCTCTACTCTTCCTCCCCAAATTCCCATCCCATCAGCCCCACCCGAACTCAGGCTACGACATTCCCACCTGTTGTAAAAGTTTGCAGCATCACCCTGACTGGTTTGGCTCAGTGGATAGAACGTTGGCCTGCGAACTCAGAGGTCCCGGGTTCGGTTCTGGTCAAGGGCATGGGCCTTGGTTGCGGGCATGTCCCCAGTGGAGGGGAAGGGGAGTGCGGGAGGCAGCTGATTGATGTTTCTCTCTCCTCGATATACCCTTCCTCTGTAGAAAATCAATAAAGTATATTTCTTATAAAAAAAAATCTTTGTTTTAAAAAAAAGTTTGCAGCATCACCTTCCTCTAGTCTGTCCTCTGCACCGGCCTCCAGAACAGGAGTCCTGGCTGTGTTCCCTCTCTACTCAGGGACCTTCCAATGCTCCCATTGCCCTCAGAGTAAAGTGTGAAATTCCCCATCTTCACATTTAAGACCCTTGTGATCTGGCTCCTGGCACCGTCTCCAGTTCCAAATTCATCCATTGCTCCATGCAAACTGTCACAAATCCGTTTAGTAAATTAACAAGAAAGTGAGGCAGAGCTCCAGCCAGTTTGACTCAGTGGATAGAGCGTCAGCCTACAGACTCAAGGGTCCCAAGTTCGATTCCAGTCAAGGGCACATGCCCCGGTTGCGGGCTCAGTTCCTAGTGGGGGGCATGCCGGAGGCAACCAATCAATGATTCTCTCTCATCATTGATGTTTCTATCTCTCTCTCCCTCTCCCTTCCTCTCTGAAATCAATAAAGATATATTTTTTTTAAAAAAAAGTGAGGCATAGACCCAGCCATTCCACCATGCTGACCCTTCCTCTGAGACTTCCATGCTGTATCCCACCATTGTGCCCCTCCCTGTGCTATTTCTTTTCCCCAACTCTTACCCTCCTGGCAAACTCCTAGCCCGGCTGAAAGACACATCTCCACCAGAAAGAAGATACGCACACATCGTTAGCCATTCATCCATTGACTGACATTAGGTTCTTTTCACATTTTGGCTCATGTGAATAGTGCTGCAATAAGCACCAGAGTTCTGGCTGAGAAATTTCACTTCAAGAATTAAATTTCATGACTGGTCATGAGTGTCATAATTTAGCAAACTCTGCCCTATACCAACAACCCCTGTCATATTTGGGGTCCTCCGAGAAGTGACCCTGAGACAAGGATTTGAGTAGAAGTAAGTTTACTTTGGAGGTTACCCAAAAAATACAAGGAAGGAAGTGGAGTATTGAGAAAAGACAGGAAAAGAGGGTAATAGGGCATATGCTCTCAGGCAACTTACCCCTGTGGCAGCTGGGATGCATTCACTCTGCTAACCTCTGGGAAACAGCATGGAGTTTTATTAGTTGCTTACACAAAATTCCTGCTTCTCTAAACCTGATTGCCCCTCAATTTACCCCATCCCCAGTTCAAGAGCACAGGCTGACTGCTTTAAAAAATCAGCACCCATTACCATAATGTCTGGGTAGAGCAGCAGTGCTGAAAAGCAATCCCCCCAGCCACCATCACCAGGGGACAACTGGCAATGCCTGGAGACTTTTTTTGTTGTCACAATGGAAAAGGGGCATCTAGTGGGTCAGGGCCAGGGATGCTATTAAATATCCCACAATGCACAGGAGACCCCCTTTGGTAAAGAATGAGCTGGCCCCAGATGTCAATGCCAACATTGAGAAACCATCAGTGAGGACGGGCACATGACCCAATTGGAATCAATACAAAATCAAATCCAAGTCTAGAAGCTTCTCAGGTCCCTGGAAAGTGCCATATGATTAATGATCTTTGCCCTTATTTTGCTAACACAGAAGGAGCGCTATAGCTGTGGGGGGTGGAAGAGAAATTGGAATGGGTACCATGTGGAGCCTGAGGATGACACTGATGCCAAGAGAACAATCTGTAGAGATGAAGATAAATTCAGCCCTCATTACTGTCACTGGATCAAATCTCCCTAAAGCTGGTCCTTATTAGTTACATGAGCTAATAATTGTGTTTGTTTAAACCAGCTGGGTTAATTTTTGTGTCACATGCAACCACAAGCACTCCAAGTGACAGGGGAATCAATGAACATTAACCCATCCTCTTTTCCTGGAGGATGCCCCTATATGAACACAACCTTGTCTTGGAGTACAATTGGTTGCAAGATATAGAAACCCACCCAAGCTGGTATATGTAAAGGGGTATTTATTACAGAGCTGCTGGGAGCCGGTTCATCCTTGCTGTTTCAAGGGACCTGGCATATATGGCATACTGTTCTTAATATGTTTGCTCACCTTCTTGGCACTATGTGTTTTAACCAAGGTCACCTCTCCAAGAAAGGTTGTTTCCCCAGGTAGAGATTTTCCCCTGAAGTCAGGGAGGGGGTGAAACTCCTTAACTAAGTGCCAGGCGGGTAGTTAATCACTTTAACTACAA